GGTGCCTTACCTCCCTTGGGCTGGGCCAGCTGGTGGTCGGCCTGCTCCGTCTCTGCCGCTTGCCAGCTATGCCTCGGCCGGCGCAGGGGGCGGAACCACACATGCGCGGCGCTCCCGGGCAGGGAAAGTCCTCGACTTACGACTGGTTGGGTAGTCCTCGACTTACGACCGGTTTAGTCCTCGACTTACGACCGGTTGGGGTCGCGGCATTAAAAAGGTTGAGAACCACTGCTTTATACCCATTAATATTAAATATGTTGGAAACTTCTAGCATGCTTTAACCATCTTAATAGTTTCATGTAGTTTAAATCAGAACTTTGCCACTTTGGATACTGAAACCCTATTTCTGGCTTCTTTGCAAAGTATAATCCTTAAAGCCTGAGTATTTGAAAGACTGTCTGTTTCAGTGCAAACCTGTCTACCATAAAGATGTTCAGGGAGGTTCCTTCTAAATGTGCCTCTGCTGGCAGAGGTCTATTCATCTGGCATGCTCTTAGACAGTACAAGGCACTCTTGGAAGTTGTGTTTGTTCTCTTTCTTTATAAGAGTATTCAAAATGCCTATTTTATCCACTCTTTTTTTTTTTTACTTATTTTAATTTGCATTTTATTAGTAGCTGTTTCAAATGCTCAAAATTGCAGCAGGAAGCTGAAGAATGAAGAAATAAATAACAGAGAAGCTGGAGGAATTCTCTCCCCCCCCCTTTTTATTTTCTTTCTGTACTACAATCACATTGCCTCCAATATTTTTGTCATAATCACAGTGCTTTAACTCTGGCTGGTAGGCAAGAGAGCTGCAGAAAGAAAGCAGTGGATAGAATAGGCATTAAGTATTGTCCTATCACCAGCAGCATTACCCCATCTTGTGTTACTGGAAGTTGCTTTCCAGTACCGTTTTTTAGAGAAGCATTAACAACTAATATATGGATACATAAGATATCCAAGTAAAATGTAAATGTAGCAAGAGAAAACAATCCCATTGTGTTCCTTTAAAATGTCATTTTCAAAATACTGTGGAGTCCTTTAAATAAATTAATATAATTATGCATGTTATACTGCTGGATTGCTATAACAGATTGAAAATATTGTGCACATTTGTTCCCACCCACCTATCTACTTCTGAGAACTGGAGAAGGCTTTGGAGAAGGCTTTTAAGTGTTGCTGCCACTGTATTTGTCATTATGATTAATTGGATATAAAATAGTTTTTTTCCCTATACATATGCCTGAACAGTTATTTGAATTTGAGATTCATTACACCATTTTGGTTTGTTTTAGCTCATCAGTGCATAAAATGTGGATTGCATTAAAAGGCACCATTTTAATTTGCTTTGGGGATATGTTTTGCATCCAAGTCTCGGTGGAATGCTGATAATATTGCCTATATTTAATGTATGTATATGGTTAATATGAACAATAGCAAGCTTTGATCATCATGTTTGATATGCTGATTTGAGTGAGCATGATTTTCGCAACAACGTGATTCATCACGCAGAGGGAAGATGTCTGAATCCAAATATCAGTAATGCTTTTTTGGTATGCATATATGATTTATATTATTTCTGTGACCGAAGAAACTGTGATCAGAAGAACGAATAGAAGGACAGAAATGTCTTAAGTCTGAGTCAGACACTATCAAAATAACCAAAGAATTATTAAAGAGCATGGGATTTTGTGACCTCATTCATTTCCATCTTCTCTAAATTTCAGCTGTTGGAAACTCTGTAGGGTAACATGTAGCCTATGGGCATTAATTGGCTTACTCTTACCTTTAAACATTAGTGTCACAAGGTATGGGCTCTTTCTCAGAGCAGCAGTGAGTGCTGGACATCCCCGTTGAACAAGCGGTCTATTAACTGCTCTTGGAAATGAGTGGCCAGTTTCCAACCTCAAGAGCTCCTAGCCTGGACTCCAGTTTAATAGCCTCCTTACTACTGCATGCTCACTGATATGTTCATCATTCTGCTTGGATTTGCTACAGTACACAGTCTTGACCATTTTTGTGTGCAACACATTTCAGCCAATTAAATCTTTATAGGTTTGGGGATTGAAAAACAGCACCATCTTTTGCCACCCCAATTTTGCCTTGAAGCAAATCTGCACTTTGAGAATGTGTATGTTTTAATTGCTTTTGAGCTGCTCCATATGGATAGTTTTGTTGAAGAACAATTGTGCTTTGAATGTCCATGCATTTCAAAATTACTGCCGGAAATGTGACATGTCTTTTCTTGCAGTTCCTGAAGCCTCCTCATAGTTGGTTGCCCCATCACATGTACGGTGCCTGACTTTTGACCATTGTGGTCATCCTGGTTCTCCATAGATATTCTTTCATATTGATATATATATATATATTGTTCAAAACCATTATTGTGGCTTTTGTTGTTTTTGTTATATTTATTGCATTCTTCCTCCCCCTGAAATCCTTAAAGACTGCCTCTTGCTATCACTCACTTTTGTATCTGCTTGTTTTTATTTTCATCCCTCATCCTCCTGTGGCATAGATCAAGGTGGTGAATGCGTTCCGTAGCTCCCTGTATGAAGGCCTCCAGAAACCCGAATCCAGAAGCTCCATTCATAACTTCATGACTCATCCAGAGTTCGAGGAAGACGAGCCTGAGACCCCATTCCTCGATGGCACTGATGAAGACTTGGAAGCTGAAGAACTTAAAAAGCAAAGTGAAGAGAGTCCAGGGGAGTCCTCACCCCTCAACACAAATAACAATGCAATGGACAGCAATATAGCTGAGGACACCATGCCAGAGCCAGAAAGCCCTTTACACAGCTTGGAAACATCAGTTTGATCTCTGAACTTTGACCTTCCTGCTTCCCCTTTCTCTAGGCAACATAGGCACCAATATCTGACCATACGCTGCAGCTACTTTGGCCAATTTCCTCTCCATCCTCTTTATGATTTCTTGGCTGCAGAAATCATGGTGTCACCTGGGTAGAGTTGTATTTTCAACAAATTGCTTGGCAGAGGTGCCTCCCTCATGAAAGAAATCACCAGTGTGATCATCATCTTCTCAAGTTGGGTACCACATGTCTGTAGTAGTAATTTTTCTCCTTGCTCAAGTTGTTATGCTTAAATAGAAATGCTCTAGATTCCCTTTAAAAGTTTGATGTATAGCATCTATGGCACAGTTGCAAGATATTTCCTTAATTTTGTTTATGGAATCAGAATCCTAGATGCTTTTAAATGTCCTTGGGAAGATGACAATGAGTGTCATAGGAATGTTTTTAAAGGGGAGGGGGTGATCTGAGTAAGGAGTTAGATGTGAACCTAGTCATCCACAGAGCAAGCTGGGGAAGAACTAGTATCCATCCTTTTACTATTTTGTTTCTATTATCTCTTTGTTTCCAGGATAGTGTCAGTCACAAAAGATGAGGAGGAATATAGACAGTCTTAAAATATATATTTTTAAAGAGGAATAAAGCTAATCATAAGGAGATACAACAGTGCCATATATCCTGAGAGAATTAAATGTTAAGGGATTTGGTTTTTAATGAAAAATTACTTTTTATGATTTTAGATCAAAATATTTTGGAATTATATATTACCTGAGATATGTAAGATGTTTATGTATTACATATTTTTGTTTAATAGGAATTTCATCATTCTGAATATTAGGTGAATATGTCATCAGTAAGGTGAACATCTCAACCCTCTGATTCCAAATAAGATGGAACAAGTATGGGCTTATTACTTCTGCCCAATTTTTATTTGGACAAGTAGAAGGAGCCAGTTCTTTGGAGAGTGAAAGTATAAAGGCCAGCTCTAATAAGAATCTGATAGTTCTTACAGTTTTTTTTTTACTGCATTTTGAATGCTGAAGAATGAAAAAGTAACAGGAAAATGTCTTGGCCACAAATATATACACAGAATGTTTTCGTGTATATGGAAAATCTAAATGAATCAGTTCTGTATATTTGGGATAAATTGTGTAGCATTGTGGCACAAACCACTTTCCTTAGTTGATAAGAATAAGATTCTCCCTGTTTCCTGTTAATAGGTTTTCCCTTTTTTGCATCTTGTACGGAAAGGATACTTGCTGGTCTCATGTTGATAGAGTTGCAATATTGAGATGCTGTTCTAGGGGGAGTCACTGTTTCACCCTTACGGACCATAGCCATAGGGGGAGCGAATAGGATGTCCTGCTGAAACTGCTTGTATAGAATTTCTGCAAGAATAGTGGGGCATCTAACCAAACATGCACTAATCTGGACCCTTATGTCAGTTCACAGTGCTTTTCTTGGAAAGGACTACCTGGAAACAAAGAGAATCTAACTTTTCCTACTTCTTTTGGAAGTTTTATTGTCTGGCCATCCTCCCAGCATTCAAATGTATGCGTATTTTTGTTGGAAATTGGGTTTTTTTTAATAGCTTTTCCCTTTCCTTTGTAAGAACGCACAGCAGAAACTCCTGTGCCTTGTCTAAGCACTGCCTGTCATATTTTACTCCAGTACTTTGCCAAGAGATAAGTGTTCCTTAAGCAAAGACAAAACCAACCAAGAAGGAAAGTAAATTGTCTCTTGATTCGACCCTTTAAGCCCAAAACCTTCTACCTGATTAATTGGTCATTGAATTTCATCCTGAGTTCAAGATAGACTGATGAAGATTCCTTTTCCATAGCTGTTCTTTTCCAGGGTTGCTATAAAGAGGGCTTGTATGCTGGGCTCAGCAAACTGCCATTATCTGAAAAAAAACGCCTGCCCATGTTCCACCCTCTGAGTTGCAAATAAGGCCCTGAGTCATTCTCAGCTCTCCTTCCTTCCAGATACATCACTTTATCCCTTTAATCTGAACTATATAGATTGGGAAGACTTAGGGAGGGAGGAGAGCTCCGTTTCTGGTTGTTCAAACTATCAGATAAGGGGGAAGGGCTCCCGTTTTCATTTCATTTCATTCTGTTCAAAACATTGCAATGCTTTGAGGTCATTTTTCTATTTTAAATACTTGCAAAAACAAAAGGGGGTGTTAGGCACCTGCGTGAATATTTGTGAATTATTTGGGGGAGGGGATACTGATTTTATTTTTATGTTTGGGTGGTTTTTTTAATTCAAACGTTTTTGGAAGAAGAAACTCACTCCAGCTATCTGTAATTGACAGATTGCAGTGAGGTATCTGGCCTACATTTTTATCCATTTTTTTTCCCTTTTTTCTGTCTAGTTTCCTCAGGGGACGGGATAATTATATAAATATTATGCAAAAAATATATAGTTTTCTTTAGATCAGAAACGTATATTTTTAAGTCAGCCATATGTATTTTGTTTAAAAGAAACAAAGCTGTGAGTTACGTAACTGCAGTGGAATGTAGTCACATGGCTGGCAGTGGAAAAATGAATGTTTGGTCAGACTCTTGTCAGCTTCCTATCTCTGAACAGCCCTCTTTGTAATAAAGTCAGTTGTGTTATACAAAACTGTTTTTTATATAAATTATGTTGATATGGCAACATGGCTTAAAGTATAAGTGTTATTACCGTGCATACATTTTTAAATGTAAACTAGTTGAGTTTTTCCCAATTTAGTTTTGGTTATAAAATTGGCTGAAGTTGACTAGCTGAAGTTATTAAAGACCTGTAGTATATGCCACCACGAGAGAGGACTTAAGATGAAAGCAAGGAGTCCATTTGCAGTTTTATGGATGCGCACACTCGCCCATTGGCCACCTTGCTGGTTCCATTAAGACTTTTGATCCTCTGCCTAGGGAAAAAGAGGGATTTCTTTTCAATTAAATCCTTCCTTATGTCAAAATAATTGAACAGTTCTGTCCAAAGTTGACTGCATCAGCCATCTGAGAAAAGGCAAGTAAACCCAGTTCAGCAAAGATCAGCTCTTCTGTACAAAGTGCACACTTTATTTTATTTTATGTTATTTTATTTTTACCCTATGCAGCATTCTTCTGGATGTAGCTAGCATCCAAATAAAGTGGTTCCTGCACACAACTCCACTTATAAGTGTAGTCTATCCTTGCTGGATGGGAGTGGTGTTAGATGATAATTTCTTACAACAGTAAGTATGCCGTTAGAAACAAAACTACCTTTGCAGGAAGCAAATGATAATGGGAGGGAGAAATAACTCAAGATTGTGCCATGCCAGATGGAAGATGAGGTAGTATCCTCTTGTGTATATTGTTATGCTTGGGATGATTGATTAAAAAATGAAATGGACCCTAGAGCAGTTTTTCATCTGTTTCTTAATAGGAACATATTGTTTTTGTTAAACAAATTGGCACATTGGTACCAAAGACATTACATTATTTGCTACGTGCAGTGAAAAATATCCATTTTCAGGAGCTAAAACTGTGCAATTGGTTCTTTTTATTCCATTGCACAGGGATCTAGTTTAATTTTTTAAAATTTTGTGCAATAAGTTTTAGGAAAATATTATTTTAAAAGGCATTTCTAAGAGGAAAAGAAATCTAATTGTAATTTTAGCCATGGGCAATCTAAATGAAGATTTATACCATAATTTGAACAGAAGTATAAAACTGTTCATTTAGCTTTTGATCTAAGGACCAACACAAACACCCATTATAACGGGGCTGCAAGCAAGTCCACTAAAGATCTCCAATAATTCCAATTCAATGACTGCATTTTTAAAGAAGTATTTTTTAAATAATCAATATTTGCTGAGCACTCCTAGTTCAACATTTTTTTTCTGACCCACCAGAGCTCTTGATGAGATTACAGCAATTGTTGGGATGGTTATAGCCCTAAGAACAGGCACAGCTTTAAAAAGTACAGGAAGGCAATTACAGCTTCTAGATGTGTCATGGAAGTCTTTTATGAATAAGCTTCACCAGACTCTATAACTTTTTATGAGGGTCTTCTTGATGGAGGATTCTTGGACATCTAGCTCTACCACTAAAGAGAGGAAATAAATAGAACTCTCACTTCAGTCCATGATGCTTTTAGAATTGCTTTAATATTACAATCAATATAGCTGCACACTAATACTCTATTCTACTTTTTGTTGTGCTTCGTAGCTGGCAATATTCCTATTAACCAATAAAAGGAGTCCAGTCTACAGATTCATGTGCCCTTTGAACCCATGGCTAAGACTACTTGTTCAGGGTTTTTTTTCTGCCCATAAATACATACATATACAGTATTAACATAAATACTGCATATATATTTATTTAAATCTCTTCAAAAGCATGCATATAAGAATTTTAAGTTTCCCCTTTTTCAATAACTAGTATAATAAGCAATGGTATTTTTGTATTAAAAAAGAAAAAGACAAAACAAAAGACTGAATATTATATGGTATGCATGACAAAATGGTTTTTAAAAAGTGTGGTTTCAAAGCAATATGTACCCTGGTGTGTTTGCCATATTCTAGAGTCCAGCTTAAAGTGCACCTGATCTGTAATAGCATTTTGATATTATTTAATCTCTATGTACAATGTTTTGCATGTATTTATATGGTTCTTGGGATTTTTTTTTTCTTTTTAGTTATTTGGTAAAGAATAAAGAGAGGGATGGGGTTGGCATGATTGACAAAGTTTTTTCTGTAACATTTGAAACTTTAAATATAGATAATGCTCTGATTGGAAACAATGCAAGGAAATTAAGCTAAGAAAGGGAAAGGGTTTTGAACTAATAAAGCTTGTTTGGCTGTTAAGCAGAATCAATGCACAAGTGCATGGAGAGAATAAACTGTGCCCACATGTAATTGTGATGTCTTCAATATGTGTCCCATTAGTTTATAAAGTCACTGATCATCTACTGAAGCTGCAATAGTATGAATTATTATAAAATATTAGCTTGGATCAAATTTGTAGTGTGAAAATTATACACTTTTTAAAAGCTGACATGATTTTTTTTTTAAAAAAAAAAATATCTCAGATAGGTAATTGCACAAAACATTCTGTGTCAGTTTTCCCATCTCTGAGTAAGGTCCAGAAAAAGCTACCAAATTCTAGCCCAGGCTGAGGATCCATGCCAGTGACACATACAAAAATTCAAATGAATATTTTAAGGTGGAAAAGGCAGAATGCTTTGCAAATCCAAATTTAAATTTAAACTATTGCCAGTTTATATGTTATACTTTTAGCATGAACTTTTTCAATGGCTGAACTTGTTTTTGTATCTGGCAATATATTATATGAATATATAACATCATATCCAGAGTGGGTATAGGTTATTAAAAAGAATACTTAGTGAACATTGCCATGGCTTTTATTGTCCTGTTGCACAATATGGTTATACTGAGACAAAGCTTCAATGTGATATTTTCTAAAAGTATAATGTTTATATGAGATCTTCATATTTTGGATAGAAAGGTCTTTAGAAAAAGCCCTCATTCAATGAAAAAAACACCTTGATCAAGTATCCTTAATGGGAAGGACTTGAAGCTGTGTTATAGGAAAACTGGAGATAATGGTTGATTAGGAATTCACTCTGGTTCAGT